TCGACGTACCTTAGTTCGAACTTACCGCCGTCCAGACCCGGCAGGCAGGCTCCCCTGTCGACTCCGCGTACTCCTCGCAGCGAGCAGGATTACCAGAGTCGACGGGGAGCACTTCTGAGTTCGATTTATCGCGTCCAGACTAGACGCGATAAATCAAACCCAGAAGTTCGATTGCCTGCCGCCGAACCAGCGCGGTAAGTATAGACAAGCCCTTAGAATTGGTAGGGCAACTTCCACCTTTTCATATTCTCTGTATGTATATATATATCTTCTTACTATATGTTCCATTCTATGCATCTGATGAAGTGGTCTGTAGCCCACAAAAGCTTATGTTCAAATAAATTTGTTAGTCTCTAAGGTACCACAAGTACTCCTGTTCTTTTTGCGGATACAGACTAACACGGCTGCTACTCTGAAACCTTATTTATGTCAATTACCTTAGAAGGTCATTTATATTCTTTGGATTGTTGAGAGGATTTTTTAATATTGTTGCCATATATTTTGTATAAGAATATCATGTTCTGGGGTGCAATTTAGACCAGTGAGGGACTGTGTCACTGCCAGCCCTGTAAACCAGGGTGCCTCACAATGCTTTGCTGCTGTAGTTCCCAACCTGGGCTACTCACAACCATCCTACCACATGCTGTAAGAATCTTGAAAGTGCCTGGTAGGACAGCTACCAAGGGGATGGGAAATTGGTTTGCCATCTATGGATAACAGTAGTTGGCTCAACCTTCCCCAGGTGACTGGTTAAAGTGCCCCTGCTCAGTTTGGTCTTGAAGGGACAAGAAATGTGACAATGTGGGAAATTTGATGATATTTTTATGATTCCAGTGTCCACCTCAGTTTCCCTTGCACTGAGTGTAAAGAGCAGGAGACATGAGGTGTGTGAGTCATGTAACTGACTGGGGTGATATGACTGGGTCATTAAGGACTGGCTAGAACCAACTCATCGCAATAGAAGATCTTATAGTGATAACTAAAACCCCAGTGACCAAAGATTAACACCAACTACAGAAGCAGCTGATGTGAACACAGCATGGCTATATCCGGCTGAGGATGTGAGGGAGATTCCCAAACCTGAGCCATTCTTTTTAGGTGACAAATCTGAGGAACGGTCCCAGATTGAGGTGTCATTAAAGGAGGTTTTTGGAACAAATTGAAAAACTAAACAGTAATAAGTCACCAGGACCAGATGGTTTTCACCCAAGAGTTCTGCAAATGTGAAATTGCAGAACTACTAACTCTAGTCTGTAATATCATTTAAATCAGCTTCTGTAACAAATGACTAGGGCAAAGGTGGCCAAACTATGGCCCGTGGGCCATATCCTGCCCACGGGACTGTCCTGCCCGGCCCTTGAGCTTCTGGCTGGGGAGGCTAGCCCCCAGCCCCTCCCCCGCAGCCTCAGCTCGCCATGCTGCCAGCACTCTGGGCGGTGGGGCTGTGAGCTCCTGCCAGGGCAGCGGGACTGCAAGAGCCACCAGGTGTAGTGTATTAAATTGCTCCCATAGGAATGTGCTACTTACGGAGCAGCAGGACTGGCAGCCACCGTAAGTAGTACACTGTAAGTAGCACATTCCTATGGGGAGCAATTTAATACACTACACCGTAGGGAAGGCTGTGTCTCCCCAAACAGCCTGGTCCCCGTCCCCTATCCGCCCCTCCCACTTCCTGACCCCTGACTGCCCCCCCTCAGCACTCCCGACCCATCCAACCACCCCTACTCCTGGTCCCCTGACTGCCCCCCCAGGACCCCCTGCCCCTAACCGCCCCCTGGGACCCCACCCTCCCCATCCAACCCCCCCCTGCTTCCTGTCCCCTGACTGCCCCGACCCCTATCCACACCCCCGCCCCCTGACAGGCCCCTCGGGACTCCCACGCCTATACAACTGCCCCTGTTCCCTCTCCCCTGATGCCCCCCGGGACCCTCTGCCCCCTTAGCCAACCCCCCTGCTCCCCGCCCCCTTACCATGCCGCTCAGAGCACCAGGCCTGGCAGCCGTAAGTAGCACACCGTAAGTATCACATTCCTACGGGGAGCAATTTAATACACTACACCTGCCTTCCATACACTTTCGGAACCCTGATGTGGCCCTCAGGCCAAAAAGTTTGCCCACACCTGGACTAGGGGATAATAATGTGACGCCAATTTTTAAAAAGGGCTCCAGAGGTGATCCTGGCAATTACAGGCCGGTACGCCTGACTTCTTCAGTACCGGGCAAACTGGTTGAAACTATAGTAAAGAACAAAATTGTCAGACACATAGATTAACATAATTTGTTGGGGGAAGAGTCAACATGGTTTTTATAAAGGGAAATCATGCCTCACCAATCTACTAGAATTCTTTGAGGGGGTCAATAAGCATGTGAACAAGGGGGATCCAGTGGATATAGTGTATTTAGATTTTCAGAAAGTCTTTGACAAGGTCCCTCACCAAAGACTCTTAAGCAAAGTAAGCTGACATGGGATAAGAGGGAAGATCCTCTCATGGATTGGTAACTGGTTAAAAGGTAGGAAACAAAGGGTAGGAATAAATGGTCATTTTTCAGAATGGAGAGAGATAAATAGTGGTGTCCCCCATGGGTCTGTACTGGGACCAGTCCTATTCAACATATTCATGAATGATCTGGAAAGAAGGGGCAAACAGTGAGGTGGCAAAATTTGCAGATGATACAAAACTACTCAAGATAGTTAAGTCCCAGACAGACTGCAAAGAACTAAAAAAGGATCTCTCAAAACTGGGTGACTGGGCAACAAAATGGCAGATGAAATTCAGTGTTGATAAATACAAAGTAATGCATATTGGAAAACATAATCCCAACTATACATATACAGTGATGGGGTCTAAATTAACTGTTACGACTCAAGAAAGAGATCTTGGAGTCATTGTGGATAGTTCTCTGAAAACATCCGCTCAATGTGCAGCAGCAGTCAAAAAAGCGAACAGAATGTTGGGAATCATTAGGAAAGGGATAGATAAAAAGACAGAAAATATCATATTGCTGCTATATAAATTAATGGTACGCCCACATCTTGAATACTGCGTGCAGATGTGGTCGCCCCATCTCAAAAAAGATATATTGGAATTGGAAAAGGTTCAGAAAACAGTAACAAAAATTATTAGGGGTATGGAACGTCTGCCATATGAGGAGAGATTAATACAACTGGAACTTTTCAGCTTGGAAAAGAGACAACTAAGGGGGGATATGATAGAAGTCTATAAAATCATGACTGGTGTGGAGAAAATAAATAAGGAAGTGTTATTTACTCCTTCTCATAACACAAGAACTAGGGGCCACTAAATGAAATTAATAAACAGCAGGTTTAAAACAAACAAAAGGAAGTATTTTTTCACACAATGCACAGTCAGCCTGTGGAACTCTTTGCCAGAGGATGTGGTTAAGGCCAAGACTATAACAGGATTCAAAAAAGAACTAGTTCATGGAAGATACGTCCATCAATGACTATTAGCCAGGATGGGCAGGGATGGTATCCCTAGCCTCTGTTTGGCAGAAGCTGGGAATGGGTGATGGGATGGTTCACTTGATGATTATCTGTTCTGTTCATTTCCTCTGGGGCACCTGGTATTGGCCACTGTCGGAAGACAGGATACTGGGCTAGATGGACCATTGGTCTGACCCAGTGTGGCTATTCTTATGTTCTTAAAAACAAGAGGTGTCAGGTATCTGTGTTAAGAACTGGCCTCACAAAGACACAGGAGCTCTCAACTGAGACTAAGACAAAGGAACAGAGACAGAGAAAGGAAGCCAAATGGTTCCTACAGCAGCATGGCTCAAGGGAGCCCTGCGGTTGGCCAATCTAAAATCTGTCCTAGGGCTGGTCTACAGTGAAGAGTTACACCAGCATAGCTATGTCTCTCAGGGGTGTGAAAAATCCATACCCCTGAGGGAGAGACTTAGTTAAAACACCCTAATCCCCAGAGTAGAGAGCACTAGGTTGATGGAAGAATTCTTCCATTGACCTAGCTAACACCTCTCAGGGAGGTGGATTACATACAGTGATGGAAGACACCCCCCCCCGCCCCTCCCATCGCTGTAGTAAGTGTCTACACTAAAAAAAATACAGCGGTGCAGCTGTGACACTGTAGTTTTTTAAGTCTGGACATAGCCTTATCCTTTGCTTCTGTGTGTTAACTTAAGAACTTCCTGATGCTATGTTCCGGTTGACTAATAAACCCTACTCTGTTTCTGAGAAGGCTGCATGGAGCTGCAGCAAATACTTGCTGAAGTGCATTGATCTCTGAAGAGGGTAAAAGTCTCTTAACAAGAGTGTGCTTTAGCCAGACTAGCTGGGCAAAGCTTACGGTGCGAAGCGGGAGTGCTGGAGCCTGGAAGCACAGTCTAGGAGACATTGAGGCCATGCGGCGTATCCTTGTGGAAAAATGTAAACCCTTGGGGGTTTTGCACACTGAAGGGGTCCTCCCAGGGAACTATTTACAAGCCAGGGCATAGCATAGATTCTGTGCATTTGTGACTGTGCAATGAACTAAATGTCCCCTGCCTTGTTCTGTAACAACAGTTATATTTGCTCAGCTTTTCAAAGCAGTGCAGGGGATTTGGTCATTGCTTTTAATGACTTAAAGTTCCCTGCACTGCTTTGAAAATCTCAACCATTTAAAGATTTTTCTTTCCTCATAAGTTGTTCAAATCTTTTTATATTTTCTTGCCGATATTGAAAAAGTACCTCAAGTTTCTGGCCAATTTTGAGCCTTCAGTTTTCTCCCCTTTCCTAATTTATTAATTGACTGACTTTCTCCATAGCAGTTCTTTCCCTGTTGGGAAATGGAGTGGGGTCAGGAGAGAGATGGATTTTAGACAAGGACAGCACTGTAGTAAGGGTTTTTGGTTAAGATCCTGACAATTTAATGCTGGTGAGGGAGCCGCATAGCCATTGCTGGGACACTTTGATGCCAGGTATGTTAGAGGGTTACATGCAGATTATAAGAGATATGGTAAAGAATCGTTGCATCTCTGCCACAGGTGATGACTGATGTGGTTGGGAACCCTGAGGAGGAGCGTAGAGCTGAATTTTATCATGAGCCCTGGTCCCAGGAGGCTGTGAGCAGATATTTCTACTGCAAGGTAAGGAGGAAATGTAACTTAGTCTGCTTGTGTCATGCATGCTGGCTAACTGGGCGTGGGCAGAGGGAATCCTTCTGCCTGCTGATTGATAATGTGTGAATCTGCATAATTGTACAGACCTATAATTTTTATTCTTTCAGATCCAACAGCGCCGGCAGGAACTGGAACAGTCTCTGGGAGTGCGTAACACATAAACATTATTCACAACCTCCCATTGGCATCATGAATCTAGAGCCAGTGGACGTCTCAGTGTTACTTAGCTCACTGTTACACATGGACTTGCTTAATGACTGGACAAGAATCTGCCATCAGCAACACCAGTCACAACACCAGCTTTAGCGTGACCCCTGAAAATCCTGCTAATGTGAGTGTCTCAAACCATTCCAGGCCGGAGAGGGCACAAGATTTCTATTCCTCACTGAGGTGTCCATATTAATAAGGATTAAATGTTCAGCCATCTACTTGCATCATTGAGTTTTAGTAGAAAGTTCAGACACTACACAGCAAACTTATTGGACTATACCATATATTCATGGGTGGGGGGGATGCTAGATGTTACAGGAGACTGTGGATGTGGAGAAACAAAGGCAGTTCTCATTCTTCATGGTTTCAGCTGTGATCTGAGAATCTCCTATGACAACTTTCTGCACTGATAATTCCCTGAAATTGGACAAAATGTTCTCTCTTTCAGCTGTGGAATCATTCAGTTACCCAAACACAGCTTCCATTCCAACTGGAACTGGCCAAGGGGCTGCCCTCCCCCATGGGAGAGAAAGATTTCTGCCCATTAAGTGACAAAACATCTAAAAGGAAGAGGTACAGTCAGACCATTCATTCTGCAAGACCTTATCCCATTGAGTGAAAGATGGAGTGAAGTCTGTTTCACCACACAAGCCAATAACTCATCATGATGCTCAAATTTGCCATGCTAAGAGGAAAATAACTGCCTCTATGATAAGAAAACTGCCAGTGACGTAATTGGAGCCAGTAGTGGTGAGGTTGGAGCCAAAATGAAGCATTCTGGGAAAGTGGAAATGATCTAGTGGTGCTTTGTGTGTATAACTGCTTTAGCTACAGTTAGTATTACTGGAAGGCTACAATGTAAGGTATCTGATTTCATTATTTCTGTGTTGTGCTGGCTGTAACATTAGGAACAGTGCTCAAGAGACGTTTCCTCCTGATTACTGAAGTGCTGCAGCGTCCAAGATGTGCAACTTCATAGCATGTAAGAAAATTGCAGTGACTTCTCTTCTCTGACTCCATGGATGAACCCTATGTTTCAACCACAGATGTACTACCTATACCAGAAAAAACTTTCAACCCCTTTATTTAATCTGTAACTGTACTTCAGGATGCTGCTGGGTTACAAGCACTATCTGCCTCAATCAAGTTCCAGCAGTAGAGATTGAGAACTAGAAAAAACAGCTTCCCTCGAGAAGTATAGGAGATCCAGGCTATGAAAATTACAACCTATTAAACAGCCAAGAAGTAGGGAGCAGTGGCACATGCCCACTCTTCAAACTCCAAATCTATGTAGCTCCCAGGTCAGTCTGTAATAATAACCTACCATGATTCCCAGCCCAAAAAGCAGTTGCCAAAGTTGAATGAATGACATATTAATGACTGAGAAATCGAACTCCTCTTCTGGGATACTCCTACTTGCATCCTTTTCTTCACTCTCATGCAAGGAAAAATAAGTTCAGGTTTGTAGTGCACTGTTCTTCTCAACAATGTAGTTTGTTTTAATATTGCTATCTCCTCCTCTGTCATCTTTGCAGGTCTTCCCTGTTGGGGAATTGTCCTCTTCTGGTGTACTCCTGAGTTTCCTTTGTCCAGTTCTGGAAGGGGACATCCATGCCTCTTCATCCATGTCTCTCTGCTTTTGTATATCATAGCTTTCACTCTGACCATTGTGTTCAGAGACCTGTTTGGGCGTTTGAATTTGGATTGTGATGATGTAACAGTCAGTACTATCTTATAAATTAATTTGGTGTGAGACAGATCCCTGCTTTGTCCTGGATAGTGAGGCCTTTTATTGTAAATGGGGGAGCATACTCCTCAATGCTTGGGCTAAACCGTTTCAATTTTAAAACCACTCCAGTACTGCAGTCTTAAGCTAAGGCTAGAGTGGGAATGTAAGGTTCCTGGGATGTGAAAGAAGCTCTCATTTACTCCATTAACCTGACCACAGGCAAAACATTCTGAAGGGAAACAGAGTGAGTTATCTGCAACTGTGCTTCCATATTTATTAGGCTGCTGTATCAGTTGTGTGCATGCTATCCAGTGTGTAGGCTCTTTTCAGTACATGTTAAACAGAGCAGCTACATTCAGAGGATGGGTTCAGTCTCCAGGAATAAGAAATACATAAATAATACTTGTTTGTTTGTGTGTGTGTGTGAGGAAAGGAAGAGCAGGGGCTGGGGCATAAGTATGCAGCACATGTGCCAGAGAACTTTAGATTAGGTAAATTTTCCCCTTCAGGTGCCAGATGGTCATGTGTGGAGATTCCAGCTGTGCTGCCTCCACTGATAAAAGAAGATGGAGTGGCAACAGCCTTTCTTCCTTATACAAGTCTGACTCAGTCCAGGATTTAATTGGACATTTCTATTACCCCAGGTCTGTGCTTTCTGGTCAGGTTATTCAGAATCACCATTAGTGTTGTTGCTTCCAACTTAGATATTTTTACCACTACAGTATGTTAATGCCATAGATTAACTAGCGATAACACTGAATATATCCAGCTAGAGGTTGTATTCTCAGAGTCTCCCCCAATGTTGTCCAGAATTATATTCCCCAATGATTATTCTTAGGAATGGCTGATGGCTATCTCCCTTGGCTGAACTGATTATGGAGTTTGATTTTTGTCGTTTAGAAACAGTCCTGCTCCTGCTCTTTTACTGAGGAAGTAAAGAGAGAAACAGTCCCTTGTATTATGGCAGTACAGCCAGGAGCTTGAGCCAATACTGTAAGCAAGAAGGGAAATTGTATGTAGGGAGAAACAATAGAGCAGGATTGGGTAGAAGCCGAACAGCATTGTAATAATGGCAGAATTTGAACAATAAACTAAATTGAATAAACTTAATGGATAGAAGAGGTTAGGAAGGCTCTGGAGAAAGCTCTCAGCAGATGATGATAGAGGCAAATCATGCCTAGTGCAGGGTAAGGGCCTACATGGACTAAAAGATCCTTTCTGGCTATTCTATTTTATTGCTATAGGACAACACAAATCTATGCAGGGTGCAACAAAAAAGTCTAGCATCTGTCAGAGAAAGGGGGTAGATAACAGCATATAGGTCCATATCTATATATATATGGTGTAAACTAGAACCTATAGCAGATGACTGGGAACAGTTTAGTGCAGAATCCATAGTGTGCCAATGCATGGGGACTAGGAAGGTGCATCTTGGAGTTAAACTGTGAAATTGGCAGATTTGTAACACTCTTTTAGTAATCCCTGCTTTGCACAGTGGATAAGGATTCAGAGGCAGTGCTTTCTAGAAAGTACAGAATGAAAAGACCTATTTGGCCATCTAGTCAGTTCCCCCAAATGGGTGGCGGAATACAGCGGTGGGAAGACATGGAGCAGAGAGCACTCGAAGTGCTATTAAATCATAGCACAGACTAATCAGTGCAATACCATTTGGATATAGCACAGTCCATGTAATTCGGTATGCTCTCTGTGTGTATGCAAGTATAGATATATATGTGAAATAACCAAGTGAGACAGCCAGTCTGATAACTACTGTGTAGGCTAGAAAATGGGTAGGCAGGGCACAGCCTAATAGTCTGTCATAAACTTTGTCTGAATTATGGACATTGTAGAAATTTTTTTCACCATTACTAACACTGGTTCAGATGAAACTCGTAGTATTGGCCATTCTAGTGCAGAAAGCACTCCAGCTGCCAAAACTGATTGTAGCACCATGTTTAGAATTGTGCCTTGCAGCATTGGATGGCACAGTCCTGGAGCAGCTTGTGAGTCACCTACAATAGAATGCCCTTGTTAATACTTGTGCAGTCAAGACTGTAGTCAGGTTTCTTTCTGTTAAACGCTCTTCCACATGCAGTGGAAGCAGGTGAGGGCAAAGCAGACTGTTTTCCTGAAGAGTGCTTCCTCCTTTCTTGTAACTGCTCTGTTGTTCAGTGAGCTGCTTCTGATCCATCAGATCTTACCTTGTATGACAAACAGCTTTGCCAATCTTATTCAGGAATGGAACTCCATAACTTGTGTGTGTGTTTGTGTGTGTGGGTGGGGGGGGGGTGGAGAGAGTGACAAGAGAGAGCGAGATTTCCTCTACTGTGTAGCCACCATATCTTTGTTGTACGATGCAGAGTGATTCGTAGAAAAGCTTTTAACAATAAATAATTTGTTCCTTTGTAACCTTTGCATTTGCATTACATTTCTCAACAAAGCAAGCTCCATAAGCCCACTGTGAAACAATTGCACAGTTGTTTGCGAATTTTTTTTAACACAGTACAAACAGAAGATTTCTGCAACTTCTTGCTCCTTCTGGCAACTCAGTGGACTTCAGTATCTGCCTGAAGATTGCAAGCACAGCTCTGAGATTTTTGTGGGGTTGGGGAGAGAAGGGGTTTACAGGTCAACTGAAGGGCCAAACTGTGACTCATGTTTACATATGTCTACAATGGGAAATTGAAAAGCCAGATTTTCCTGCTGAGTCCCAGCCACCATCAGGAATGTCTGTCATCATTCATTTGGGTTTCTTGCTGCCATTGGAAAAAGACTCGACACAGTGAATATTTGTTTTTTGGGCACCACCTCTTTAAAGGGATTGGGATAAGGGCATTTCTGGGCAGCGTCCATCTTGCCATTGCTTGTCTAATTTATTTCAGTGGCAGCTTTGGGGTTGCATCACCTCCAGCTGTACCACTGAGAGCACCATATGAAAATCCTGAAGAACTGAATAATCCCCCAAAATCCGAAGTGTAGGTAGGTCTACCCACTTGGTCTCTGAGTGCTTGGCCTCTGAGCGCCCTCATCTTTAGTATTCTGTGACAGGAGCAGTGTCCAGCTGGTAATGCTGCTGGGATACTCAGGTCAAGTTGGAGTGGGCTGAAGGCAGGGAGTGGGCCCAGAACAAGCTGTATCAGAAAATGGAAACATGGGAGGGCGTGGGAGTGCAGCAGTACAAAGGTGAGGGGTTTTTCATTGTCTATCATTTTCTCAGGGAGTCTGAGACCAGGAGCAGGGAAAAAGTAGGTTTCAGCTGGTGGCAAGGTGTCAGGAGTACCTGGACAGGGCCGGCTTCAGGCACCAGCTTAACAAGCAGGTTCTTGGGGTGGCCAAGGGAGAGGGGCGGCACCTGCGGCAATTCGGGGGCAGCAGGTCCCACACTCCCTCTAGGAGCGAAGGACCTGCCGATGAACTGCCGCCGCTGATCGTGGCTTTTTTTTTTTGCTTGGGCCGGCAGAAATGCTGGAGCCGGCCCTATACCTGGACTTTGTTCAGTTCCTCAGTGAGGGTGAAAGACGTGGGTGAGTGAAGTGACTCTATTTTACTGCAGTTCAGTGAGGCCTTTGTGACTATATTTGGTATTTCAAAGGCTCCCACCAGCATGGGTGTAAAGCATATTACCAAGATCATATGTTCATTTGGGCCAATTTAGCAAGATGCAAGAACTGTGTAGGAGACAGTATTTAAGGTAACAACAAGCTAAGGAGCTGTATAGAATAAATGCCTGCTGAGAGCATACAGTGAGCAGAAGGGAGATATCAAGCGAGTGCACCTGGAGCTGGCAGCAATTTAAGGTGAGAGTGTGGGTCAAAGAGAGCTCTAGAGTTACAGTTAGAGCTAGGGGTAAAGGATTTGGATTAGGGTGACACTGAGTGTTAGAGTTTGGGTGAGGGGGTAGAGAGTCGGGGTGAGGGTTAGGGGTCAGGGTTAGGGTCAGGGGTAGGGTTGGGTTAGGGTAGGTTGTAGGGTCGGGGTTAGGGGGAAGGGTTTAGTGTTAGGGTTTCAGTGAGGGTGAGATTAGGGTTAGGGTCAGGGTTTGGTTAGGGTTAGGTTTAGGGTCAGGGTTTAAGGTGAGGGTTTAGGGTTGGATGAGGGTCAGGGGTAGGTGTAGGGTGAGGGTTAGTGGTTAGGGTAGGGGTTAGGATTAGGTTAGGGGTGAGGGTAGGGGTTAGGGTGACCGTAGGGGTTAGGTTACGTTAGGGTAAGGGTTGGGTTACGGTTAGTGGTAGGGTTAGGGTAGGGTTAGGGTTAGAGTTTGGCATTAGGGCTAGGGTTAGATTAGGCTTAGGGTAGAGTTAGGGTTGGGTTTGGGGTAGGGTTAGGGTAGGGTTGGGTTTAGGGTAAGGGGTTAGGATTGGAGTTGGGGTGAGGGTAGGGTTAGGGTCTGGGGTAGGGGTTAGGGGTGGGGTTAGGGTTAGGGGTGACGGTGAGGGGTTGGGGTTAGGATTTAGGGTTACGGTTAGAGGGTTAGGTAAGGGTTAGGGTTGAGTTAGGCGTACGGTTAGGGTTTAGGGTTAGGGTTAGGGTTGGGTTTAGGGTTAGGAGTTAGGGTGAGGGGTAGGGTTAAGGGTTAGGGTTTAGGGTCAGGGTTAGGGGGGGTTAGGGGTAGGTTTAGGGGTGAGGGTTAGGGTTGGGTTAGGGGGTAGGGTTTAGGGTTAGGGTATAGGGGTAGGGGTTAGGGTTAGAGTAGGGGTTAGGGTAGGGGTTAGGGTCAGGGTGAGAGGTTAGGGTAGGGTGAGGGTTAGGGTCAGGGTTAGGTTAGGGTTGTCAGGGATTAGGGGTCAAGGTCAAGGTTAGGGGTAGGGTTTAGGGTAGGGTTAGGGGTGAGGGTGGGGGTTAGGGTGAGGGTAGGGGATAGGGTTTAGGGTCAAGGTGAGGGTGAGGGTAGGTTAGGGTTGGGGTTAGGGTCAGGGTGAGGGTAGGTTGGGGTCAGGGTGAGGGTGAGGGTAGGTTAGGGTTGGGGTCAGGGTCACGGTGAGGGTAGGGGTTGGGGTTTAGGGTTAGGGTTAGAGAGGGTTAGGGTGAGGGTTTAGGGTCAGGGTTAGGGTTTAGGGTTGGGGTTAGGGTTTAGGGTTTACGGGTAGGGTTTAGGGGTTAGGGTTAGGGTATAGGGTTTAGGTTAGGGTCAGGGTTAGGTTAGGGTGGTCAGGGTTAGGGATTAGGGGTCAGGGTCAAGGTCAAGGTTAGGTTAGGGTTTAGGGTAGGGTTAGGGTGAGGGTAGTGTTTAGGGTCAGGGTGAGGGTGAGGGTAGGTTAGGGGTTAGGGTTGGGGTCAGGGTCACGGTGAGGGTTGGGGTTTAGGGTTAGGGTTTACGGTGGGGGTAGGGGTAGGATGAGGGGTTAGGGTTAGGGTTGGGTTTAGGGGTAGGGTAGGGTTAGGGTCGGAGTTCGGGTTAAGGTTAGGGTGAGGGTTTAGGGGTTAGGTTAGGGTTAGAGGGTTTAGGGTTAGGGTTAGAGAGGGTGAGGGTTTAGGGCTAGGGTTTAGGGTTGGGTTTAGGGTTAGGGTTGGGGTCAGGGTTAGGGTTTAGGGTTTACGGGTAGGGGTTAGGGTTAGGGTGAGGAAGGGTTAGGGGTTAGGGTAGGGTCAGGGGTAAGGGTTAGGGTTGGGTTAGGGTTTAGGGGGTTTAGGGGGTTAGGGGTCAGGGGTCAGGGTCATGGCTAGGGCTAGGGTTAGAGGGTTAGGGTTAGAGGGTTAGGGTCAGGGTCTAGGGTTAAGGGTTAGGGTTGGGTTAGGTTAGGGTAAGGTTTAGGGCTAGGGCTTGGGGCTAGGCGTTAGGGTTTAGGGTTAGGTTAGGGTTAGGGTGAGTTTTTAGGGTTAGGGTTTAGGGTCAGGGTTTAGGGGTAGGGGTTAAGGTTAAGGGTTGGGGTTGGGTAAGGTTAGGGTTTAGGGGTAGGGGTTAGGGGTAGGGTTGGGGTTAGGGGTGAGGGTAAGGGTCGGGTAGGGTGAGGGTGAGGGTTAGGGTACAGTTACGTTAGGGTAAGGGTTAGGGGTGGGGGTGGCGGGTTAAGGGTTTAGGGGTGGGGGTGGGTTTAGGGTTAGGTTAGGGTTAGGGGGTAGGGGTAGGGGTAGGGTTGGGGTTAGGGTTGTTAGGGGGGTTAGGGTTAGGGTTTAGGGTTATGGTAAGGGT